AATGATTCCATGTTGCTGATAAAATAATATATTACATTTTATGCACCTACAAATCCACAGATATGCACTGGCTTCGACGAAGCAAGGCAATAAGAATATACGAATTATGGACCCGCTGTTGATGTGATTCGTTCTTTCCTTTACATTCTTTACATGTATTTATCAGAATATTTACGATGAGTATAAATATCTATCTTCTATACTACCTATATGCTAAATACAATTCTCTCGACCCGTCAATCTAGCTATAACGATTATCACTATTCTTGAGAATAATCTTTTCAAAATCGAATTAAATTAACTAAATTGCAATTTTTTAAATTCAAGAATGTTATTTAGTTAATTTTTTAAATTTAAATATAGAATTTTAAGATTCTAAATATATAGCGATATCAAAATTTCCTTAAATTTACAAATATATAAAAGAAAATTCGGTTTTTTTAGATCTCTTAGAATTTAAGTTCTCAGATTTGAACTTCGAAAAAGAACATAAAAATTCGACAATTTAAGTCTTCTTTTGTTGCTAAACTAGTACATTATACATACTTAAAATCAAATTGATATTTAAAATTTGAAGACAGTAAGACAGAAAATTTTAAAGTGCAGCGACAAAAATCAGGCCTGCTTTCTCTCTATATTTACATTCTCCATTTTTGCTCTGCTGCCCTTTTTTTATTATTATATTTCATTCATCTATGCTCTAATCGTCTATGTTTAACTCGCATATTTCTGTGATAAACTTATCTCTAAAAAAATATATGTATTTATATTGCGCCGAAATCTCTCCCTTATTTCAGGCCACCTGTTATCGATCGCCAAGAAATCAGATCACAACAGAGGATTGCCCTACAACATAGAGATTTTGTGTTCAGGGCACCTATCATATAGAACAAATGAGAATGAATTTTGATCGGAATTATTCCGTTTTCTCTAGATTTCTATTGTGTTTAAAAAAGGGAATAATTAATTCCGATCGAAATTCATTCTGAATAATGCCATAATACATCCTACAGTTCTGAGCTTTTAACACTTCTGTCATTTCTTAATAAAGTTCTCATTCCTGTTGTACTGTTTTGCACATTTATTTCAGTGCGATTAATGTGTCCTCCATGCGAAACGTGCGAGCTTAACAATATATATACATATATTATAAGTATCTATATATGTATACAAAAAAAATTCTTCCTTAAACGCGTTCATGTTAATTTACTCATGATAAGAGGTTTAAATAATCCAACAGGCTAAGTTTCACACTACTTGATGAACTATCTAGGTCTAGACTGATATAAAAATAATGTATCATGCAATTTAATAATAGTGTAACAACAGTCGCGCCGTAATCCATGCGAGTTTTACAAATTTTCTGATTGTTTGCTGAACTGGCGATAATCGCGCATCAAAGTAGAAGAGAATCCGTGATTATTAAAATGAAAGACTAACTAGATGGAATTGTACAGTTTGCAGTAGAACGATTATTAATTTATAATGTGCCGCCAACGCATTTTCGCCAGTTCTGAATACTCTAATACTCTATCGGCATTCCCGAGATCGTAAATC